GGGGGATAAGACAGAAAGCAGAAAGGAAGGGAATGGTAATCAAGAATATTTTGCAAGAAAACACATAAGCACCATTCTGTCTCTAGTGATGAGAAGCCCAGTATGCAGAGTTTCCCCCCCAAAAGTACTTGGCATCAGCTTAATTCTTTTCCCCAAAAGCTAAGGAAATAGAGACCTGCTCCGTATTGTCTCATACAGACCCCAAATTCAGTAAAAAAATTTGAATCTACATTAGCATTTCTATCAAAAATTTTCCCCTAATGATAAACTTTCTGATTAATTCCTGCAGAAATGCAGAACTGGTTTTCCACACGTGCAGTAACAGTAAGTCACCGTCAAACGGATCAGGTACAGGATACCATCTCAAAGACAGCACTATGACTTCTTACCCGCCAGTGATACAACCCAGTCTCTTTCCTCTCCTTCCTCTGGAAAAGCACGGCTGCCAGAAAAGGCAGCACTCTGGATGGAAATGGGCCCCTCAGCACCTCACGGAACATGGGAAAAGCAGCCGGTCGTCTCCGCCAAAACCCTGACCGGGAAACGCAGAAAGCAGAGTCCAGGGACAGTTGGCTGTGAAGGGCTGCTTGCTACAGGCTCGGTCTGCAGTTTTGCGCAGGACTGGGCTGCGCTCCAACTTCAAGAAGCGGAGGTGTGGCCCGCGCTTGCCAAACAACCCAGTTCAAACCTCGCTGGCATGTTTTTCAAATACTGGTAAAAGGTTAAGGGCAGCAAAGCAGCACTGAACAGAGAAGCCCTGGGTAGGAGAAAGCACTGCTCCATGATTAAGCCACAACCTCAAAACTCCCAGCCTGGATTTTCTTTCAGAGTTCTGGCAACCTGGTCTAGGACTTTGGCAGTTTCAAACCTTTTCAGAGTTTCAGCACACCCTAAAAGAGTATTTTTAAATAGAAAGAAATTCCCATCCTACAAGCCTGAAGCAAAGCCGAATTTCTCATTGACTGTAGCTGTTCAGAGAAGTTTCAGGGAGCTCGAACTGAGGACACCACGATTCAGTCTGCATTAGGATGCCTTGGAGAATATTAATTCACCACCATACCTAACCTCTCGCTATGTGAGCGGCCTGCACAAGTCCCCCCTTTATTCTCATTTCCATGTAGCAGAGTCTTGATTCTTCCACCAAACTTTTTGAAAAATTGTGCAATACATAGGGCAGATTTTTAAGGGTCTGTTCTGCTTTAAAAAAATCTTCAAGTAGTAAGGGAAATTGTTTACGGGACATGATTACTTTGTCAACAGCTGCTGACAACTAGCTTGTCTGGAGCTTTGTATCTAAGACCTTAAACTCAAGCAGCAGACAAAAAAAAAACAACAAAACAACAAACTTGAGCGTTTCAATGATTAGAAAATGGCAGAGAATGTATGGAAGCCAGTAATGCAGCGTGTCACCAGCTCCACACAAACATGAGAATGTGACACATTCGCAGCAAGGTCCCACTCATTAATCATTTCCTGTCATTAGTGTCAGTCACTAGATCAGAATTTAAGAAAATTAACAAAAGCATAGGCACTGACACAAACAAGTCAGTACCAGTTAGTGAATCCACAGACTTGCAATCAACGCAGTCAAAAAACAAACATAACACACCATTGCAAAACAGACAGCAACTGCTGTAAAGCTTTCATGTGGTACTAAACAGTATGGTAAAGATAGACACTGGGCTGAAAAAGCAATTTCTTTGCATTTCTACATACCACTGCATTGAAAATGAAAGACTGTCATATTAGGTTTCATTTATCTTAGAAAAATTGCAGAACCGTAAATGTGATTTATTTATATTTAATCTAATATAGCTCGACTATAAATTACAGGAAGATTGAGGCAGCTTCAGACAGTAAGCTAACATGGAGAAACCACGCTTAACCTAAACACTTTATTACAGACAGTATATAAAACCTGTATTTCATCTTGCGAGTGCCCAACCCTATATAAAATCAGGCTTACCTACCTTCTGCTGAAGTTCTCTGTCCTCTTCCAAAGAAATCTCAGCGCAGGGATCTCATGTTTATAGAATTGCTCTTAAATTTCTCTCTCAAAAACTGAAAGCTCTTTAGAACACATGCTTAAGAATTATTTCACAGGCAACAGATCATCCATTAGCAAACAGTGTTTGTGTGCAGTTTTAGCTATTTGCAGACACTGCTGACAGCCAACTTAATATCCAAAGAGAAGCTACTTGCTTTTGTCATTTCCTAGCAGACTAAGAAAACAAGCAAGCAAAATGGCATAAAAACATGAGGCAACAAAGATGGCCTCACACCTGGCAACTTTACTTCTGCTTGGATTAGCATCCCCACAGTGGTAAAGGTAGATGTATATCGACATTTCATTCAGTTGTTTTTTTGTCAGCAAGCATGAACAAATGACACCATCACCTACTATACTATCTAGTACTTAAAATATCCATAGATATCACATGTGGGCCCCTTTTGCTCCCATTGGGAGCATTAAGAGGAGAGCTGAGATGCAGTGCATAATTAGAAGAGATGAAGATTCCAAAGAATGCTATCAAGGTTTTGGTTTGGGGTTTTTTTTTGGTGGGTTAGTCTTCTCCAGAAATACCAGTATACTCAATTGTCTAGCACAGAGACAAAAGACTGTTCTTCAGTGCTGATATCTCCCTTTTCTATAGAATGGGAAAACTGAAGATCTATATTCTACTTCCAACACCAGGCTAGACTGTGACCTACAATTCAAGCAACTGCAAATCTGTCAATCTAAACCTTTCCTTATTTGGTCACACAGAGCTCAACATTCGTCCCCATCGCAAAACAGCATACCACCACTCAAAAAAAAAAATTGTCAGTAATTTTAGTCTTCTCTAATAAGTACATATTTAATGGTGTAAGACTTTCAAAAACATTATTCAAAGAGAATACAAAAGTAGTTTTTGTAGGATTTTGAGAACATTCACAAGCATACTATAAACTTGTCGATTTAAAACCCACAGTTCAGAAGTCATGACAGCTCTCATATGACATGGTCTCATTTGAATTACACATATTAAAGCGGGAGTGATATTGGGAGCCCCTGCATTGGGTCTGACTTCCAAAAGAAAGTGAGGACTAATACATATTAAAAAAAACCCAACCAAACAAAAAACCTACAGCAGCCCAGAAAAGCTTAATGCACAATGACTGAAACACACACTGGTTCACAATATTTATTACAATCTATTGCTTTAGATAAACCTGCTGTATGATTAGTAAACCCAAACCACATTATAAGAACCAACAAAAAGAACTGCAGCACGAACCACATCTCCGTATAAAGTATGCAATGGATGTGAACAGAGGCACAACCTTAACCACATAAGTGAGAGCACAAAGAAGATCCTCACGTGAATTTAGCTAATTTAGCTCTCCTGGCAGCAGATAATGAAGATAAACAAAAATCAGACTAACAGTACTAAACATAAGACAGCTAAAAATCAGAGCTATATTGTTATATCCATATACAAAGAATTCAGGGCCTTTTTAAATACCCTTCTTTCACTCTCAATGACCTGTAAACACAACTCTCCAAAACCATCTTCCCTCTGTACCTGAACTAGTATATAAAGATCTATACAGAATGTGCAAATCCAGTATAAGTATTTTTAGGTTCTCTTCTTCAAACAGAAGAAATACAAAGTTAAAAACATTAACACCACAGATTCCCTCTACCCAGCCTCTGCAGAAAGAAATCAGTAGCAATACTGCCCAAGACATCCAAGAACAGTAGCAAAACTCTGGACCAAGAAATCCAAATGAACGCATAGCATATGAACAATAAATACAAACACATGTGGAAAGGGAAAAAAGAAACAGTTAGCAAGGGAAACTATTAACACTGGCAAATGAAAGTGAATTAGGACTCTTGTCAGCCTACAGCAGATCTGTTCCTAAAACACACTCACATAATGGCTTCAGTAAATTTATGATGTTAACTGAGATCAAATTACACTTTAGGCAGACAGGCTTTTTTTTAAGAGGTGATAGCTGGTAGTTAACATGCCATGCTCCATACTATTTAATAATTACATATTTGTACGTATTGCTAGACCAGGATGTTGGGAGTCAAACAGTCACACTATCGGGTTATTTGCTACTGCTGCCTTTTCATTACCACTGCACAGATTCTTTCTGCACTGATCAAACATTTTAATATCCCCATACCAATCTGCTATAGAGTAAAGTTTGTGGAAAAATAAGTTAGACAAAAACATTACAGCGTACAAGGAGTACTGTACAATGTAGTTCCTATAGCTAAGACTTCTGGCCCAAGAGTAACTTAAGAACAGTACCAGCCTGAGCAGAACACTGTTCTATAGCATTTAAAATAAAGCACTCTTGAAATAGTCTGGATTTCACTTCAAAGCTGTAAAGTGAAACAGAGGCCAAAGCACTTATATACACAGATCTGAAGTGTAGTCTAGATGCTCAAGCAATAACTATAGTTCACTCCCTTCAGAAGTTGCTTTACAGGGTATTCTTTGCTTTTTGGTATGTGTGCAGATGTGAACTTCTTAGAATAGCCTCTGAGCTTCCACTCGTGCTAAGAGTGAACATATTCAGTGCAAACAAGACAAGTTAATTCAATTTACAGCTCTCAAACTAAAGAAAAAAAAAAACGCTTACTAGTGGCATCTACTGTTTGTCTGACCATCTCCTGTGGAACTTCTTAGGAGGTCAGGTGATAACACTGAACATCAATAAAAAGAATCCTTTGGCCAGCATTTAAACATTGCCATTACTGAGATGAAAGTAAAATTTTATTTTCTAGGTCTAGAAATAGGCACAGAAGCCTTCTCTATGCCAAACACCTGGCAATCTCCATGCAACACAAACAGCTGCGAAGACTTTAAAGGAGTTTTCTTTTTTTTGAGGAACTATTTACATACAAGGCCAAATCACAACACTGTCACCCTAAGGAAGTTTTATAGTAAAACTTGACTTGTGTTGAACGCCCAATAGTTGTTGAACAACTCATTCGCAAGGTTGGAGAGCAATACAAAACTCACTACAAAAATCAGCTTCTATTCTTCATCTGAGTACTGAGAGGTTCAGTGTAGTTGCCAGCACTGTAATAACATGGTTAAAGTCATTTTCTAGTAAATCAATATTGCCAGATAGGTACAGTCAGTCCACAGATACAAACGACTTCTACCCAGTATATGTGAACCTAGCAACAAGCCTCAAACATCTTAGAGGCATCAACTTAAGTCATCAGTTCTGAATTTCATATGAACGTTGGGATTATTGACCATGACAAGGTCAGGTGTCCAATGTGTTGACTTCTTTGGAGCAGAAATAATGCACAACTATTGCATTAGGGTATCGAGCAAATGCACTGTAAAGAGACAGAACACAAAAATCAACTGTCAATACAGACCAACAGTTTTCCCTATTCAAACAAGAACATTCAAGTTGTGTCAGAATCAGAAAAAGATGTTTACATGAAAGTGACACTTCCTTGTTTAATTTACAGCCTGAATATGTTCTTGAGAAAACCAGACAAAAGTATTCTATGGATTTTGTAAGAGTTTAATTTTTAAAAAAATAATACCTATTTTCATTTCTACAGGCATACTTTACTTGGAAGTCACTGGTAACAAGTTAAAGACTGGGTGACATGCTGACATGCTTGCCCTTCAAAACCTTGTTGAACTTCACAGCTTTAGAAAAATCCTAGACAACCAAACCAATACTGCATATGCAAAATTAAATTCGGATGCTACATGCTACACACTAACCGCAAAAAATTGAATATGCACAGCAATAAGTATATTTAGACCCATGTTCATTAAAACATTTTGGAAAAAGAGCCTTTCCCTATCGTTGTGAATGCTGCTGATTGTGACTGCTACTGCCTCAGAAGGGTTCACATCAACAAGGGAAACAATCAGTAAGCTAGTCACGTGGCATTTCACTGGAGTTCAAAAAGGAAAAAGTGCAAATAAAATTTGCATTCTATACTAACCCATACTTGCCTACTAGGTATTCTAGAAGAAAAGTTATTGGCATCAAGGTGTCAAATGAATTAGTTCTACTTTTAGATATACTCAGATAATTAGGCTACAAAATGTAAATCAGCCAGGGAACCACAAAGCCATCAGATACAGAAAACTATTACACATGTACTTTAGTTCTTTATATCATCCTTCTTAATTCTAGTTAAGTAGAAAGTAGTAGGCAGTGTTCTTAGAACATTTTCCAGATTCAGTACGAGAAGCGATTTGCTGCCTTCTAGAGTTGTGAGGTAAGAAGTCTTACAAGTTTTGAATGAGATTTTACTCTGCTTTGTTGAAAGGATTAAACTCCTGCAGTAAACTTCAGTGACTAAAGTTTTGATGTTTTTCCAGTCACCCAGCTAAGCGATGTAATTTTCAGTTCAAACACTCTTCAGATGTCTCCCTCATACTACTGTTATCTCTGTGTATATACACACACTGAGTTTTGCAACATTCTTAGTTTAAGTGTACCAGATTCCTATCCCATTCATTTTCCCAAGCTTTAAGGTATATGCTCTCACCTGTTACCTATCTTCTTTTTACATACAGTGCACACTTTCTCCTCTGTAATAATGCACTTCACTTGCTGATGCAAGATCCGCTCCTCCTGGACCTAAAGAAGAACAGGGAGGGAAAAAAAAAAGCCAGCTGGCTCAAAAAGCAATGCCACACCACAGCTCCCTTCTAGGCTGGTGAAACTGAAACCTGTCACAGCATTTAATTTTCAGTGGCTATATCTACATTAGCAAGTTGTACAGCACAAAAGCAGGTCTGTAGAGCGGAGCAGGTGGTATTGAACACCCAACACCCACACTACATGAATTGCAGGGTTTTCCTTTCAACTGGTCTGGTCCACAGGCTAAGGCATCTTAAGCACTAAGGGGTGTTTGGGTGAACTATTGAACTGCATTATCTGGTTTAATTTATTCTAAAGAAATCCAGTCCATGCTCTCCAAGATCATCCCGCAATGTACAACAGAGCACAGTGAGTCCAGGGACCCGCAGCAAAGACACACACCTCATCCAAACTAAAATGAATGTACTCGCCACCTCCTGAAAGGGGGACATTCAATCTACTTGATGCACATCCACTAGCTTTGAATGAACTACAGCACCATCTAGAGGACACACATTCCACACAAGGAACAGTTAATTGAAATACTGAACATACACTTTAAAACACCGTTCCAGTAAATGACAGGTGGTGGGTATTTACCCTCAGAAACTCTGCATGGAGAAGATTCTTGAGTACTTGATTAAATCTTTTCTTCTGAGCATTTTCTTCAAGCACTTTCTCTAAGAAGATTCGAATCTCACTAATCTGTGTATTTGCTGGGAGTAGGTTTATTGCCTGGAGCAAAATATACTTAGTCAAAATTAAAAATGAATTGAGAATAAAATAGAATAGAAATTGACACGTTTAGCTTGACACTGTTACAGATGGTTCACTTGCCTGCTCCAGTACCTTCTGTCACCTTCTGCCAACAGTACAAACTGAGTACTTGCAAGTCTTTCTCACCTTGGTGGTATCCAGTTTGCTGTGATGTAGCTCCAAAACCTGCAGAGCTGCCTGCAGATTGGCTTGAGGCTCCAGCACTTCCATCTTGATTGGTCCCAGGCAATGCACACTAGGTGGGGAGAGATACATCCGCAGCAGTGACAGATAGACCTGTTGCACACAGAAGGAAAATTTTAAAACCACTGCACACATCCATAATTGACAGTGCTGGTACAACACAGCAATGGTACTACTAAGTTGTACCCACACCATTCAAAACTCTGAAGCGCTCATTTAAACAGCTCTCATCTTAAAACAAGAAAAACTGAAAAGCATCAATGATGTTCAAGGCCTTTTAAGACCTGCATTCCACACTAAAGTTTTCCTATAAAAGTAGTTTTAACCATGCCTCCTTCATCTCACATAACTCATTCATAATTTTTAGAAATCAAACACTTCACTGCTTTTTAACAGTAACTTTTTTGTAGATGTGGAATACGCACACAATATTTTGTCTTCTGAAATCCATCACGACTTTAGCTACAGAATACATGCTCAACTCCAGCAATACAGTAACATTCTCAACAACAAAAAAAACCTAACAAATTAAAAAAAAATCATCTAGTAATTCCTGAATTCCAAGAACTTAGACAGGTTCCTGTCCCACCTACACAAACCCTGAAGAAGTCCATATAGAGCAAATACTTTAAACTCACTAATATGGTATGAACAGTCTAATCCATCCTTACTGAAAAGCAAGACTGTAAAGGTGAAGCTACTTACATCTTTGTTGCCATCTTTGTTTCTCTCATAATGTTTATGGCAGTAGCTAGAACAGAGAAGAATGAAGTGAAATGCAGGGACAGTTCTGTGACCCGGAGATTCAGCTCACAGAAATTAACATTGAAAAGCCTTCACTACTGAAGGCATCCAAGTTAACTGACTGTACATCCAATTCTGATCAACTAACCAAGTTGCACAACAAAATTACACCATTTACTCTGCATCACAATGCTGAGAATAACAGAGGTTTTGTGCTAGTCTCCCACTTCCAATCAACTTAAAAAGCTTTTATGTAGAAACGAAACTTAATTCAGCTGTGTAAAAAAAGGGAAAAATGATGTCTCCAATCAACACACCATAGCATAAAAAGTATGTGTAGATATATGAATACATATATGTGTAGATATATATCTGAATCACAAAGAGGTGGTGTTTATCAGTGTACAATGCATACCAGGATCAAATGCCCTCTAACAGGTATTTGCTGAAACTAGCTTTAAAAGAAGCTATGTTGAACAGGCCCCAGTGTTCAGACATACCTGCCAGTAACAGTTAATTCTATTTTCACCTAAGTACTTTAGATTCACTCAGAAGGTTCCCAGACATGACACACCTAGTAAAATGCCGTACCTCTACCTTAACTTCGCATCTGGGCTAGTGAATGTCTCTCAGAAGAGAAAGGAAGCAAAGCAACATACACAAGTTCACAAGCTAAGGACATGTGGAAACAAAGAACTCATTGATGACAGTAATATTGCTCTAAAAAGCAATGACAGAAGAGTATGAGAAGTTAAGCCTCAAGGGCTTGGCATCATCATCTGTAATGAACAGATACATGGAAGAGCCTGAAAGTCAAGAAAACATGGAAACCCAGAAGATCCCAAAGGGTCACAGCATTCATGCTCCACATACAGCAACCTTTCACTACACATCCTATCCACAGGACAGTGAGTAAAAAAAAAAACAAATTTCAAAAGGCAATTCTTACTTTTCAGCCATGTTGGTGTCCTTCAAAATATGAACATAAATAAACAGAGCTTGCTCATGCTTCCCCATACGACCCAACAGCAGAGCACGTTCTTCTAGGAGACCTAGTGATAGCATGGAGGACTAGTCAATAGCCACACAGAGAAGTAACAACATAAGCTCCATTAGTGACCAGACTAACAGAAGGAACTACAGTCCGAGCACAGGTTAAAGTTACATTGAGACTGTAAGTCTACTTCACACTAGTCTCCGTAACATTTTATGAATTCTTAAGCAACTTCTAAGATACAACAAACTTCAGATCCATTGAACAATTCAGGCTCTTCGAAAAGTTAGGTTAAGTGATGGGAGATGCCACAGGGTCTTAGGCCAACAGTTACAGGAATCCTGCAGAGACTGGTAAACCCAAACGTGCCAGCAAAAACAGAGTTAGTATACACATCAGTGGCCTACAATTACACATACAGCCATCTTTTCCATTTCTAGTTACCATGACTCTACACTAAGTGAGGAGGTTTTGCTGCACAATGCCATAAGCTAGGGTTTAGTTAACCAATGGAAACTGAACTCACCATCAAAGGGGAAGTCACTAATTAGTCGACTAGGTTCGTACCAGCTAGACTTCTCCAAAAAAAGTAGAAGCTTTTTCCGGTAATCCCCCAAGTCTCCTCCTTCCTCCCCAGCAGGCACTGGAGTCTTATCTATATGGAAGAAAACAACATAAGCTACGGTAAGACAACTATTTCACTACACTAGTACACAGAAGACGATAAACAAATCATTATGAGAAAGAACCAATTTTTGATGAAACTGTTATACTGGCTGGGATTCTGGTGCACCTGCCAAATTTCTTCAGCTCCCCAAAACACATCTAGTAGCTGGTTAAACAATAGACTCTATTAGTCAAGACTTCCCTACCCTTAACGTGTACAATTCCGGAAGCAGTAGCTGCTGTTACACTTAAGATCTCTAGGGAGGCAATAAACTAGACATTCCTACAAACCCACAACTTCCGTCGTTCCATTTCCTTCATCACTTGGGATATCTTCTGGATATGAACAGGGAAGGCTTACAGCAATACACTGTGAAGGCTCCCCTGTGCTGTCCCACACCCTGATCCGCCCCCCAGAAAAGACTAAACGTACCTGCAGGGAAAGAACTGAGATATTCTTTCATTAAGCCCTGTACTTTCTCACAGTACAGCTGGATCAGACAGTTGTGAAAGTCTGCACCGGTTTCTTCCCAGACATGAATGATGTGTTCCTGTAAATACATGTTCAGGTTCACTTACAGAAACTTCCTCCAGGAAGTAATTTGTTATAAGCAAGCAACAGTTCCATGCTTGCCTTTACCAAACTTGACTTCAGGATTTCATACATTTTAATTATTTTTTCTTTGCACAGCTTATGGCAAAGTTAGCATTCTCTGAGACAGCATCAGGCTCCAACGTCTCGAGAACTAAAGCCTTACATGTAACACCTTGTACAGAATGTAATGTACTACTACAGATTGAGTTCTTACCAGGTAAGGAACAGTCAAGCTTTTAAAATTTTCTATCAAGAAACTGAGCACTTTGTCTCGTGGCAATGCTTCCACTTCAGGAAGGTCTTCTGTAAATATCTGTTAAACAAAATTTTATTCACCAACAAAAAACCCAAAAAACCCCACTATTCTAAGTGCCACAGCTTATTCTCTCTGAAGCACTGAAGCCTGACTTATCATCACATATGTCCAAGTACAAAAATTCTGAGCAGCTTATTTAAGCACTAGAAGCTATCTTGCATCTGAAAGGATTAACAAACATCCCTGCTTCTGCCTTGGTTAACACTCTTCTTTTACAGTGCCCAATGCTTCCCAAATACAGGAAGTCAGTTCTATATCAAAGAGGAAAGGGAAAATAAGAAAGGCAAATTAACACTTGGCATTTAAATATTCAGTCAGGCTCTTGTGCAAAAAGCATGACATCAGTAACATTAAATATTGTATCAAAGGTTCGTAGCTACTTATTACAAGATAAAGTACTCCAAGAATGGAAAAGCGTGAGAAAAATTGAAAGGCTGTCCCGCTCTATCTATTGCTAATCTTACCACAATACTGAATACAGAAAATATAAATTACATATTTAGTTGGATTTAGCATTAATACATGGTTTCTTACATTGAGTTCTCCCAATTCCATACACGGCACTAAGAATCTCAATGGCAAGGTGCCTGTTTCAACCACTTACCTTCAGTCCATCTTCAGGAAAATCTCTTAGCACCCAGACAGAGTAAGAAAATACCAAGTGCAAGTTCTCTGTGCCTGGAATACAAAAAGCAGCAGTGCTCAGCATTAAAATCTTAAAGGTCTATCTACCCACAACACAAGCAGATGTTTTCAGAGCCAGCAAAGCTTAATTCACAGGAAGATTCCAATTGGTTTCTTCCGCTGCTCAAGTCAAGCAAATCACATATTCCAGGCTAAAGCCACAATTTAATTACTTCGCAAACATGATTTTAAAAAGGAATAAGAATTAACTCAAATACTAAGTGCTACCAAACAAACCATTCAGACCAAAATCAAGCTCAGTTGTCTATCATATTCCAAAAGTCTTCCCTTACTACCTGTTTTTATTAGGGTAGAAAAAGACTGTACTTTCACTTGTGTAATTTCCTTCAGTCTATTTCCAGCCTGCCAGTCAAACGCCTTCTACAGCAAAGGGTCCAATACTTCATAACGAGTAGTAAAGCATCATAGTACTGAAGTAAATGGCATAGAAACTACATAACAGGTAATAACTTTTCAGCTTTTAAGAAAATTTAGAACCTGCCTCTTTAAAAGAATATTTTCAGTTGGACAATTTTGTTCACAAAGATTATAAAACTTGTTAGGAAAACATCACTTTCCCCCCACCCTCCTGATCAGGACCCACAGAAGCATTCACTGCCTGAATAATGCAACAACACAAAAAACAATACAAAAAACAGAAACCTACACCAACTTTATAAAAAGGCAGCCATTGTTTGCTTTTCTTCATCCCACAATGTCATCAGGAGCAAGTTACTTTTAAAATATTTAAAACAAGCAGCGTCTTCACAGTAGTATGAGCCCCATGCAATAATTAAAATAGCCCCCAAAGAGCCAGTTTCAAAGTTTCAGAAAGAAAACAGTGACCTGACAAACGGCACTAAGGTCATGGGTCTGAATTTCACTGGACTTCAATTAGCTTTCTGAATTAACAGGGCATCGTATGCTAATGGGTTTGCTAGCCTCATGCAGAAACTTTAAATAAAGGACAGGACAAATAATGGGACTAAGTTCTCACGTAGAACAAAAGACAGAGAAGAGGAAGTCTAACTCCTTATAAACAAGTGTGAGATTAATCAGAATAGCTCCTTTCCAAAGCACCAAACAAACTGCCTTTGCTGAAATCATGACCAAAATAAACATGAAGTTACAACCTACTCAAAACACTCAAGATGGCAGAAGGAGAGGAGGAACTCATCAAGTAACTACCAAAGCTTATAGCTCAGAATACTAAAAGGCCAACATCACATCTCACCACCAAACAAAACAACTGGCTCCCTCTGCACCTAACATTCAGCTGCATGGGGATTTACACTGAAGACCACAGGCAAGGATGCTTTATGCTGCTAGAATTAAAGCAGACATTGAATTTCTAAACTTTCTCAGCAACAAATCCCTGATTTAAATATGAACTATAATAAGAAGAAGTTCTGCATAACACTATTTTAATAGATAAGGAATACTGTAATACACAACACTGTCTACCACCCAATCAATTATTACTTAGATTAGAAGCCTCACCAAAAGGGGAGCACAGGGAAAAATCTGCAGAAACACCATAGTCCAAAATGCTTTTTATCATCTTATTTAAGGGACTCCCAGAAATGACACTTACCAATTAATCAAGGCAGAATGGGTAGTGCAGCTTAAAAAAACCCCACATACAGAGTACGTCATTTCTGCTGTTGACTTGGGGGGTGGAAGCTGCAAATGACACTAGCATGCAACATTCCATTTATTACAATAGGTAACTTTCTACATTGTTTCCACTGTATTTCATTACTCTGAAGGGAACAGACCTAAATATTCTTTCTCAGTTTTAAAGAGCTGAGCAAGAAGCATACAGCAAAACTGATTTTCAGGAGGTCCTGAAACACCAGAGAAGCTCCAGAAGACTAAATGAAATTCAGCAAGCTGCCAAGATTTTAAAAAAATATTCCAGACAACTTGGATAATTATAGGTCTTAAACATCATCAACCTCAGGTAAAACAAACAAGCCGCTGACACAGGTCAAAAGAGATGAATTTATCAAGATGACAGAATTCTTTTTTTAAATAAGATTAGAAGTTTGTTTTGTAAAGTTGTACGTTGAATATAACATACCTACACTTCTCTGAGTGATGCTACCAAATGACACCAATGAATAAGAACTGTAAGAGACAGACATGGCACAAATGGGAAAGCTCTCAATGTCAGTGTAAGTAACATATTATCATTGAATAAACACGCTGATAACAGAAGCCAGCAGGAGCTCTTAAAAGAAGTAGCTGTAGAAAAAAGTATCAAATTTTGCCAACAGTGTAAGACTAGGAGATGAACAAAGGTATTTCCTTCAAACTACTCACTACCAAACTAGTAGTGTGATATGTTCAAGGAGTTACACATTTAGAAATAAATAAATAATGTTACTGGATGGGAAGGGACTATTCTCAAAGGTAGCAACACCAAAAAAGGACTTGGGAGTTCACATTTAATAGTCAAACAAGTAAGTCCGTACTGTGATGCTGTGACCAGCACCTACAACTGTTAGGTCATAACCTAGATCCATGTATACACAGAAAACAGTAACTTCCTATATTATTCCCCATCTCAGGAAAGATACTACAAGACCCAGCAACTGGAAGTCACACTTTCAGCTGGAAAGCCTAAGCCAGAAGTTAGAATTTCCTTTTGTCAGTGATGGTAAATCATTACTGGAAGAAAATTCAAAATATCATGGCATATTTTCTACCAATCAAAATTTTATCAGAATTAAGGAACGTTCTCCAGTAAGATAGTCAAGTTTCAACACGATGCTCATGAACTCATCCTTGAAGTCTGCATTATGCAAGAAACCAGACACAGTGATGACAAGGATACCCTTTAGCCTCATAAGTCTCTAGCAAGTTGCTGAACAGTAGAATAACTGCTAAGCCCAACAAGAGTAACACCTTCACAAAAACAGTGCTCTCCTTCACACTCACCCAAATGCTGCAGATATTGCACTGTCCTCTCATGACCCTTCAAAGGTGAGTTGGCTTTCTTTGACTGATCCACCAGTACCTGTAATGCTTCCAGAAGAACAAAAAGATTTATTCCTTTGTAATCACAAGTATTATTCTAACTTGAACTACCAAAAAAGTACATCTCTCCTGTTCTGCTACCAGAGACAAAACAAAGATTTGTTTTCAACACACAGGCCAAACGAGTAACAGGAACAAAGACCGATTTAATCACAGGACCGACCCAGAAACAAATTCTCTTCAGAATATTGTCTGCTCACTGAAGACAGGTTAGAACTCAACACTAGGAACACATGCTGTTATCCCTTCTCCTCTCCCCATCCCAACCTCATACCTACCTTTCTCATGCAGACCTTTCTTCTCATACAGTATTATCAGCTCACTATATTTGTGTGCCTTCTTTAGCACATGCTCACTCTCCTCAATATGGCAGTGATTGTTCTCCAGACGTAGCAATGGTGCCACCAGTGCTACATTTGTCTGCAAGCAAAAAGGGAGCACTTAAACACGTGCACCTCCTAAGTTTACAGTACAAAACACGAGCTGGAATGGGGGCAGAGGGGGGAAAGTCTTTTAGCATAAGAAGTGACAGTTTAACATCTTAGATCAAGGCCCATCTTCACTTCCCTAATTTGCTGGGACAGAAAGAAAACAATATATCAGAGCTATCCCCTCCTGTAGAATAGAAGTCAGTTTTGAAAAACATCATTGATAGCAAAGATCTTACGTACTCTCCTGCGCTTAACAATACAAGGCAACATGAGAAGCATTCATTAGAACTTCTCCAAATACACAGGCAAGGCCACATTCTTTTAACAGGGGCAGTGACCAGAAACACACATACCTGCTTTAGTCCACAAAACTACTTCTGGACCAGTGAGCAAACTAGCAAACACCAAAGTTTCACATGTCATTTTTAGACCAAAGACAGACAGTTGTGTGAGAATTTTTGAAGTAGCTCCTTATCCTTCTTCTCACATGTTTCAGCCTGAAATTCCAACAGAACTTGCATGGTAAATGAAAGGCCTCCAGGTCAGGCAGAAACTCACATGGAGGTAACACTTTAGCAGGGTGGTATCAATGATTTGTAGCAGCTTCTTTTTGGATTTGATTGTGGGTGTTCCTTCCATGAGTGGCGAGGTACTGGACTGATGGTCAGAATCATTTAGCTTCTTCACCAGCTGACTTCTTTTCTGCAGGACATCAAATGAAATTTTAACAGCAAAAGGCCATGGATTTCTCCATCCCACCTCAGCAAATTTAACCCATCAAATAAAAAGACTAAACCAATTTAGTAACTTGTTTTAATCCACTGTTTCCTAAAGAATTATTATTGTCACTAACTTTTCAACTCATCGCCTTACCAACTACACTCATATGTATACATTTGTTTCACAAATTTAGCTCTGCAAGATGTCCGGAGTCTTGAGAAAACAGTCATAAGGAAACTCAGTTAACCCGAAGAGAGGCATTTTAGACAAGTCAGGAGACATTTAAAATATTTGGAGAATAATTTAGGTTTAGAACTAGTAGGCACAAAAATTATCCTCCTTCAGACACAAGCTTCCTTTAGTCTAGTAAGAATGGCAACAGAACAATTCAGATGCCAGTTACAACAAAATAAAGAGGACAGGAACTTACACTACCCACTATCTCCTGTTCTGCCTTTTAACACATGGTTTTGATGAGTCTCCTGGACAGAGTGGCCTCCACAATAGCCATCAAACTAAAACAAAAGATCAAGAGGTCAAGCCCTCTTCAGAAGGCTATTAGAAATAAAATACTGGACTCATATTTGGATCTGGTCCACAAGTGAGTTTCATTCAGTCCTCACAAAAGTCACACATGATGTCTCCCACATATCTGTGGGGCACCTCACATCTTCCAGTTCCCCAGTTTTCTCATAGTTTCCAACCATTAAGAAAGCCCATTAACGCTAGCATGAAAGAGCTGGAGTAGGCGTACTGCTTCCTGTACGTCAAAGCTGACCAACAACGTATGCTAAAACTGAGTAACACTGCTCTAAAAAAAGATATAGGAGCACTCACTTGAGTTAGGTAGTCTATCAGAGCTAAATGTGCCTTCTCCAGCTCTGCCCCAGAAAGCCCTGGCAGGGGGTTGGGATATTGTAGCTGTTTCCTGTAATCTGTGGGCAGGAGGTCAGGATACAGACCCATCACATGAGTGGGATCTAAGCAAAAAATAACTAGTATTAGTAACCATTCATAACATTGTTTTTGCAGACTCTTAAATGTACGTAACCTTTGAGTAAGCTTAGCTTTCCAACAGAGCTGTCTGTAGTCAACATGTATGTCCACAAGGTTCCCAGTAACAGAATTTGCTTATTACAGAAAAGAAGCTAAAACAAGGCAAAAAAAGCAAGAGAAAAACTGTTTCAAAGTCCAAGCACAAGTTCCAACCTGTGCACTTGGCACACCTGGAGGACAAGACATTATTATAATTCTCTTACTGCTCAGCTTGCAGAATCTCAACATTAACAACGCTGACAGCAGGACAGGATTTCTAGGAACAAGCAATGCTTTAAGGGGAAAATTTACTGTGCTTTTGCAATAAGAACTGAATAGCACCATCTGTAACTAACGAGCACCCATTTTCATGGAGTTTAAGCAAATTCAAAATTACTGCCCACTAATTTAAGTTCAAAGTATTTGGAGTTCTTAGTCCTTTTCTTTCACTGTGCTTTTCCAAAGTAAATATGATGTTAAGTGTCACCAAAACAAGTTATAGGTTTAAATGCAAAAGGGATGTGCTGTCACCAAGAAAAGAATCTGTCTTAAGCACTGCTCTGTGGTATAGTCCAATCTTCAGGTGTTCTTCCAACAGAATCACAGAATCACAGTACAAACCAGAGGAACAGCATCAGACACTATTTTGACTTCCAAAACCACAGAAAAGTTTCCTGGCTTCAGTAGCCTGGTCCATTAAACAGCAAACAGGGTTAACGGGTCTCAGTTTGGTGCGAGTCCAGGGATTTAGCAAATCTACAGAAGTTCCTTATTCTTCACTCCAAGCTACAAATAGGCTTTTGGCAACTGCTGAAACCCTCAACTTCAAGGGTCTGTGTATATGCTATGCATGCCTTAAAATAGCCTACAATACAAACATATTCTGCACAAAAGGCAAATGTATGATTTAACTTACTGACTGAAATTAATTAAATACTACAAACAGTTTCACAAAAAAAAAGTTAAATAGCCCCCTAAGCTATTTGCCATTCACAGGGGACTGGTCTGCACAAGATACCATTGTTTTAAAACAAAAAATAAACAAGAAAACCTACACAACAGTCTGTAAGCTTCTGCTGCCTCCTAACCCAGGTATCTCAATGCCAGCCCAAGTATTTACCTGTACCAAGCTTGGCAAAAACTTGCATGGATTCATCAAAGCGCTTCTGACAGAAGAGATTGAAGGCAAAGAGGTTCTTTATGTGGTGAATTTGTTGTCGCTTCTCACTATCTGAATCATCTTTCATTTCCTACACATGCACAAATTAACAAATATTAAAAACTGCTGGGCCTCGTAAATGAGAATGAAACACTCTACAAAAATAACAAGAATACTGTCCTTTGGAGAGAGTACAAAGAAAAAGGATAATCTTCCAAAGTGAACACTTCTGATGGTGATTCTCAGATGCTATGCTTACTGTGTCACTGAGATCATAGAACTGTTTGGGTTGGAAGAGACCTTACAGATCACCTAGTTCCAACCCCCCTGCCATGGGCAGGGACACCTTCCACTGGACCAGGTTGCTCAAAGCCCCATCCAACCTGGCCTTGAACACCTACAGGGAGAGGGCATCCACAGCTTCTCTGGGTAACATGTGCCAGTGCCTCACCACCCCCATAGTAAAGAATTTCTTCCTTCTATCTAATCTAAATCTACACTCTCTCAGTTTAAAGCCATCACCCTTTGATGTCCTATCACTACATGCCCTTGTAAAAAGTCCCTCTCCAGCTCCTTCAGGTACTGGAAGGCTGCAGTAAGGTCTCTCAGGAGCCTTCTCTTCTCCAGGCTGAACAGCCCCAACTCTCTAAACCTCTCCTCACAGGAGAGGTGTTCCAGCCCTCTGATCATTCTTGTGGCCCTCCTCTTGACCCTCTCCAACAGGTCCATGTCTTCCCTGTGCCGAGAGCTCCAAAGGTACCTCTGGTTATCTACATATTCACTCTATCCAGCAACTATCTCTTTACTCACTTGCCTTTTTAAATATTTTTTCAAGTTAGCAATACAAAATGCAATTAATTCGTTTTAGTGTAGTTCCATGGAAGTTTCCAGAAACCAGAAAATCCTAGCACAGTAAGAGCAATATAATCAAACACACTGCTTCATCATCTCTAAGAAATTATTACTTCTCAGGAGTAACATAGAGCGCAATCACAAAAAAAAAAACAAACAAAATCCTGTTCATTTGACAGAACAAAACACAACTCCAAGCAAAATGGTTTACAAGCAGTCTGAAGACTTCGAAGTCCAACTGCCTTCAAAGCTTAAAAGAGGGTAACGAGTTAAACAGCTGAGAGATATAATCTTTCATATACAGGATGATATCTCAAAATCTAAACCACAATACATCAATACAGAGAAATGGCAGCACAAAACTAAAGATTACGTCAAAAAATGTTAGAGTTTACCAGTTTGTGCAAAGCAGACAGCAAGGAGGTTAAACTCCCCAGACTAGCTACAGTCAAGCAGAAGGCAAACATCCTTTTGTGTACTTAGGCACAAGTGCATCCACTGCAAACACAAAGGTTTTCAAGTACTTACTGCCAACTGCAAAGCCAGCTCAAACTGCTTGTCCTGCAGAAGCTGCTGGATCTGTGTGGCTATGGACACCGGAATGAGCCGCCAAACAAAGTGATTACTTGCCACATATATAATATTTGTGCTGTTAAGAAGGCAAAAAGTTCAGTTACTAAGTTCCAGCACTGAGAAAGCAGCAATATCCTACCCCAAAAAAAAAAATCCTGGTTAACATACAGTGATCAATCAGATACAAGGGCTACCTGAGCAATACTGAAAAGCAGAAAGGAGAAGAATGTATCTCCAGTGATCAGAAAGCACAGAATCACAGAATCACAGAATAGTAGGGGTTGGAAGGGACCTCTGT